TGTCTCCAGCATTGCCAAATGTCCCCTGGGGAGCAGATCACTTCCAGTTGACAACTGTTGACATGGACACAGTCTGGAGGAGTAGGTGTGTTCTCTGGTAGAGATTGTATGGGTAGAAGAGAAGACGACTGAGGATTTGGACAGTGAGTTTCACTCCCCTACCCGCCCAATTCAAAGGGAATCAGAGAGTGAAGTGCAGGATCAGAATGAATCTAGGAAGTAGATGGTATGGAAATAGGGGCAGGAAAGTGTTCCTAGGGAAACAGCTGGTTGGAAGTGTTGCATTGGATTAGATTTGGAGATTAGGTCATTGGCCAGAGATTGCTTTCATCGGAACCTAGACCCAAGGTCATTCGTGGCAGGAAGGTCACAGCATCAGGAAGCAAAGTTTTTAGGTGGCAGTAGGATCATCCCTCACTTTTAGGAGAAATAGAAGAGTCAGATTCCAAGGCAGTTCACACTTCCCTTACTGGTGCTGCTGTTGTAGAGAGACATTGTTTTCCTAAAACCATTAATTGTGGGTTTTCTTCTTAGTTGCCCTTTTTTGAGATATTTGTGTTCTTTTCATAAATTTTGGAAACTTTGTGGGAACTGAAATACTAGATATTAAAAAGAAAAAATTCCAATCCCCCCACCTCACCCACAAGGCTTCATGTATCTTTTATCTTAAAATAATGGAGTCTCATCTTGCTCCCTGGTTCCAGGTGAGCACTGTGGCATTTGGTGCTGGCAGGTCCTGCGAGCTCCCCGGCAGACAGCTGAGCCGCCGCCCGGGAGTGGGCGCCTCTCCAAGCCAGCAGGGAGGGCTTACCGTCTGCTCCCGCCCCAGCCAGAGCCTCCTCCTCCCACTCATTGGTTTCTCCTCCCGTGTCCATGGTGCACTCTGTTCCTGTGGCCACAGAAATGTTGTTTTCCTTAGAATTGCTATTAGAAGTCTAAAACTTTGAACTTCCTTTTTATTTTTCTCCTCTTTGATTTTTCCCCTTTCAGATGCCAGGAAACTCATTTTTTTAACTTTTTCAGTCCTTGAGTTTCTTTCATATTCTTCAGATTAAAATTTTTTTCAATATATTTGCTCAGGTTATGCTTAGCCTGTTTTCTAAAATAATTCTAAAGAGACGTCTCCTCCCTTTTGGTTATTTTAAATTCCTTTTGTTTTGAAAAATCATGAGTTGTTTTCTTTCTTCTGTCACTGTCAGGGAGGTTTCTGCCAACTAACCTCAGGCCAGGGCGTGTGCCAATTAGTAGCATAAACTATGAGTCACTGAACCGGGATTTGCTCCGGAACTGTTTGATGGCTCATCACGAGTAAGGCGTGGTGCTGGTTGCTGAACTGAATATAAAAGTGAGTTAGAGCAGCAGCCCCCAGGAATTTACAGTCTCGTAATACAAGTGTCTGAATTACTCTGTGTTCCCTCAGCACCAAGTATGTCTTTTACCTGATACTTGTGTTAATGGTTCTTACCAATTATTTGTGACACAAAATATATTAGGAGCCACAGAATGGTAGCCTGTGTTGGAGTTGTCTAAGGCAGTTCATTTACCGTCTCGCTATTCCTGCTTTTCCTCCACTTCTCCTTTTATTGTTAAAACAAACGTAAATCACTGCTGAGTGAATGTTGAAACATACACTGTGACTTGAGATCAGCACTACAGATTGTCTTCTACCACGTTATGAATTAATGATGCCACATTCTTCTTGTGACTTTCTTTCCTCTTTGTTTGTCAGCTACACTAGCCTTTCACATTTCGTGCTTCATCCTGCCTTAGGACCTCTTAACGTAAAGAAATACACTTTGTTGGGAATGTTCACCCTCTTGTCTGTTCGTACTTATCCTCCTGAGCTCAGTTCCATGTCACTTCTCAAAGAAGGCTTTCCTGACCTGCCAGACTAGACAGAGTCTCCCTGTTAAATACATTCATGACACCCTGTATTTTTCCTTCATAGAACTTATTCCTGTTGTAAGTAAGCAATTGAGTAATTACTTATCTGTCTGACTTCCCTGGTAGAAAATATATTCATAGGGACAGAGATGCCATGTCTCTGTTCACAGCTGTGTCCGCAACTCCTGGCACAAATTGCTGTACAAATATTTGAAGAACCAGGGGAAAATATAAGATTTAAGTATGTAAGTAGATGCTGATGTAGAATGTCTCCAAAGCATCATGTATCAGTGAATTTCATTTCTGTCAAACACAGTCTGATAGTTCTCACTGGCAGAGCAGCATTTATTCATTATCAAATAAAATACCTCTTTAGCACCTGGGCTGGTTGAACTCACGGTCCCTCAGGAGGCTCATATGAAGACAGCTGTGTGAAGACAGCTAGCTGTGTGAAGACAGACACAGAGAGAACACCATGTGAAGAAGGAAGATTGGAGTAATACATCTGTAAGCCGAGGAATGCCAGAGATTGCTGCAGACAAGCAGAAGCTGAGAAGAGTCAAGGAAGGATTCCCTTACAGGTTTCAGAGGGAGTAGGCCCTGCCAGCATCATGGGGACTTTTAGTCCCCAAAACTGAGAGACAATAAATTGCTAGTTTTAGCCATCCAATTTGTCATACTTTGTTATCACAACCCAAGAAAACTGATACAATGGTCAGTTGATTTTCAACATGGGAGCCAAGACCACGCAGTGGGGAAAGAACGGCCTTTTCAACAAATGATGCTGAGAAAACTTGGTATCCTCACGCAAGGGAATGAAGTTGGACCCTTAACCATACATTGCATATAAAAATTATCTCAAAAAAAAAGATCAAAGATTAAATTTGAAGGATAATATTATAAAACTATTAGAAGAAAACATAGTGGAAATCTTTATGACTGTATGACTGAATTTTGCAGTGATTTCTTAAATGGCATCAAAAGCACAGCTAACAAAAGAAGAAATAGATAAATGGAACATCAAAACTAAAAACTTTTCTGCATCAAAAAATGCTGTTAAGATATTTTCATCTACTTATGAGTAATTTTTCTTTAATTTTCTTGACTATTGGAACTCTCCAAAGTAGAAAAATCACCCTAAATTTAATCATAAATAATAAGAAATAAAGCTGTGTTGAAATTATTTTGACATAATGTATAATTTGCATTTTAAAAATTTGTCTGAAAAAATGTATAGTCCTTGGTATCTTAAATCTGCAGTTAGATTCCTGAAAACTGACTGCAGTGGTAATATGGAAGATATGTGTCTTGGTATGTCAGGTTTGAAATTTCATTTGAGATTGATAGGAGAACCAGTTCTCTGATTTGTACTGATAATGGTGACTCTTTAGATCACTAAAGGAAAAAGAAGTACCATGGTCATGATGTAAGTGAATGCTGTGATTCCCATTAATAAAAGTTAAAAAAACAGGGGAAAAAAAGGACACTAATGAGTGAAAAGGAAACTCACAAAATGAGGGAAAATGTTTACAAATCATATATTTGATAAAGAATTAACATCCGGAATATATAAATAACTCCTGTAGTTCAACAATAACAAAAAACCTAAACCCAATTCATACGTGGACAGAGGGCTTAAATAATATTCAGATGGTCAATAAGCACGTGAAAAGATGCTCAATATCATTAGTCATTGGAGAAATGCAAGTCAAAACCATCATGAGCTCCCACTTCACACCCATCAGGATGGCTGTAATTTTTAAAGTGGAAAATAACAAGTGTTGGTGAGGATGTGGAAAAATCGGAACTCACATACTGGTTGTCGGAATGTCGGATGGTGCAGCCTTTGTGGAAAGCATTTGGGCAGTTCCTCAGAAACTAAGCATAGAGTACCACATGGCCCCGCAAGTCCAATCCTAGGCATGTACCAGAGGAACTGAAAACAGGGACTCGAACAGATACTTGTACAGCAGTGTTTACAGAGGCATTATTCGCAGTAGCCAGAAGTTGGAAAGAGCCAGGGGTTTAGAAATACTAGTGATGGTTACACAACATTAATGCCACAGAATTGTGCACTTAAAAATGGTTGCAATGGTGAATTTTATATTACGTCTCTTTTACCGCAATTTAAAAAAGAGAGAGTGTCGAGGGATAACGAGTGTATGAAGGCAACTTATTAAAGTGATAGACCATGGTATTCAGGAGCATGAGCCCAGGAGGGGTTGGTAGGAAGGAAGGGAGTGTTTGAGGGGTTAAAGGTTGCAGTGAGTTTGAAGGGAAGGTATTTGGGGAGTAAGATGGAGAGAACTGAAGTAATAGCAAGATATGTTGACCGATATCCTACAATGTTAGGATTTCAGTGGTAGCATGTTTCTAGGTGACAGAGTTGAGGATGTGACCGTGCGTGTGGACTGCTTGAGAAGAGTGGGAAATGATGGTCTCGGGATCCGAACGTGGTTGAAGTTGCGCAGGAGGAGGCCTGGAGGTAGCTCAGAAGGCAGGCGTGTGCTAGATGGTGAAGGTGAGTGGGTGTCAGTGGTTGATTTACAGGAGCTTCAAAGGAAAAAGGATTTCTTTCCACTCATTTTCTTAGTTTTGTGCTCTTATTGTAGCACTGACCCAGAGTTTGTTGAATTTCTTCTTAGACAAATTTCTAAGGCTACCAGTGGCTAAAGCAGCGCGCAAGTTGAGATGCAGAACTGCTCTAGCCACATTCCAGCTCTTTTGGACGGACGTGTTTGATCTGATTGTGTGTGTCAGGATCAGTACTGTGACTGGGAGGAGTGTCAGCTCCTTTTTCTTGCTTTTAAAAGTGTATAAACAAGTCTTTAAATGCTTTTCGTTACTTTCGTTTTGTTTTTGGAAGTGTATACATTTTAGTGCTTCAAAGTATCTTTCTGGATAGAATCTGATCTGCAATTTCATACTATATATCATATCATAATTGTTGTAGGGTGTATTCAGTTTATAAAATCAAAGAGAAGGAGTCGTTCAGAAAGCCCCATCTAGTTAAGTCATACTTTGAAATAATTTTGTTTTCTTTCATGACACATTTATGATACAGTATAGTCTCTGATTTTTATTGGGTCTCAAAATACTGTTTCCATCTTTCTTAGGAAAACGGGAAATCATTTCCACAACTTCATTAGTTGGCAAGATCTCAGAGCTATTGAACTTGTAAAATCTTGGAATAGTTCTCTTTTAATGAAGGTAATCTTTTTCTTATGTTCTGTGATTTGGATGTTACTGTTTTTTCCTGTAAATATCCTCTAACTGTAGGCTTACTCGTATAATCTACCACTGATGTTTTAGGACTTTAAGAAGAGAATACACCCATGCACGCTCCCCACACCAGTGAGACATATTCAGTCACCCAGAAGTGTGTTTGGCGGATTGAAGTGCTTAACAATCGCACTTCAGGAAGTCCTGAGGAGGTTTGGGGTGGACCAGAGGTTCACTTATGAATGAGAATTTGTTTCCATTCTCGGAGGAATGGAAGAAAATACACATTCTATCCAGAGGAGAAACAGAAGTGTGCAAATTTCATCATCTTTTGTTATAGAAGTGGAGAAAGGATAGCAGACTGCCACTCCCTCTCAGCATGACGCCTGGCACGTAGTAAGCCAGTGATGATGGTGGTGCTGGTGACGGGGACAGCAGCAGCATCTCGTTCCTAAGTGTGAGATCACTGAGTCAGAGGGTAAGACAGTTTGCCAGCCCCTCACATGTGGTAAAACCTGCACCATTTGCTCTTATAATCAGTACTGCGTATTGATTATTTTAATGCTTCTAATGCCACACAGTTAAATGCCTTCTCAGCTAGGGGTCCCCTACCAGATGGTGCATGGGGGAGTGTCTGGAACATGCGTTTTGCTTAGTAAGTCTTTGGAGACATTAATTTTACATGAAAACAATCATGAACATGTTATAGACTGTGACAGTAATGCATGAGTGAAACAAATTTGCCATACTCTCACCCACATTGATTTTTTTAATTTTAATACATAAAAATGGACCTTTAATAATTTGTGAGGCTGGATCCTGAGAGATGCTGTTTACAGGGAAGACAGAGTCATTAAGGGAGTTGAAAGTGGTTATAAGGAAGTGGGAACTTTTTTTTTTTTGGAAATGGGAACTTTGAATGGTATAATTTACAATTATACTATATACCATGTGTGGTTTTATACTTTCATACATAATTCTAGTTTTTAATAGATCAATCCAGCAGATGTTCCTTAAGTTAGTCAGTGATAACTTACAACTTTTATCCCTTTGAAAATAAATTGTGACGGTGGAAACAATTCTTTCTGCAGTATAAGCCCCAAATCTCAAATCATGATGTAAAACTGACTTTAAGCCCAAAACTGAACCTTCAAAGCACTTGTTCTACTTGATATCAAACACGTGTATGATGTAAGTTTTGCCCTCTCTTAGGAGAAAAATGCACACAAACAGACTCTTAGAGGTTAGCACACACAGTACCAGAGCCCGTCCTGCCAGTGATGGAACCCCATCCTGTAGTCAGTCATCCTTTTCCAGATGCTTACGGTCTATTGATGGGGGCCCTTAGGAATGTTTAGGGAGTGTGTGTCAGAGCTGCACAGCAGCCGGCCATTTGCACCAGCGAGCCCCAGGCAGAGTGGTGAAGCATTGAGGCATGCTGGCAGTCTCCTGGCACACTTGTTCCCTGCCAGTCCCCCCAGGCACCCAGCTTCCTCTGACTGCTGTTCTGATTCTTGCCTAATGGTTGCTAAGGCTTCTCTTTGCTTTTAGCATAAAAATTCTAACTCCTTACCATGGTTTGACACCATCTGCAGCTCTGACCCCTTCTTGGATCCTTTTCTCCCTGAAGCTGCTAAAGATTAGGCTCCAGCCTTGCCAGCACTCAAGCCCTTTCTCACCTGAAGGCCTGGTACCTGCATGGGGCTCTGTCTGCCATCAGGCCTGCATCTTTCTCACCCCTCGGGCCTGGCTCCCACGGCACCTCCTCTGTGGGAGCCCTTCTCTGCCATCTTATTTAAAGTAGCCCCGCCCCATCCAGTCTCTGTTACTGTCCTTTATTTCTTTCACAGCACTCATCAAATTTCAGATTCTGAGACCAACATTTTTAATTGAAATTTTAATTGAGATCATTGTAGATTCACATGCAGCTGTAAGAAATAATACAGCAATCCCTCCTGCCCTTTGCAGTTTCTCCCAGTGGTAACTACAGCAGAAGTCAGTGTTGACATGAATATTTTATTAATTATTGTGAATAGGTTTTATTCGGATTCCCCCAGTTTTACTTATACTCATTTCTTTTTTGCATGTTTGTGTGTGTGTAAGTTTCTATACAGTTTTTGTTTTTCCCTTTGTTCATGTATCCATCACCACAGTCAAGGGGCTGAACAGGTCCAGGACTACAGGGATCCCTCATGTTGCTCTTTTATAACCATAGCCACCTCTCTCCTGCGTACTTCACCACCCTCTCCCGTCCGGTGCTTCTTGCAACCACTAATCTGTCCTCCATTGCAAATCCTTCTCATTTCAGAAATGTTATATCTGTGGAATCACACAGCACAAAACCTTTTAGCATCTGCTTTTTTCAATCAGTATAATTCTCTGGAGAGTCCAAGTTGTTACATGTATCAGTGGCTTGTTTTCTCTTTATTGCTAGGTTGTATTCAGTGGTACAGGTGTACCACCTGTTGAAGGACATCTGTGCTAATAATTCCAGTTTTGGGGCTGTTACAAATAAAGCTGTTATGGACATCTGTGTACAGATGTGAGCATAAGTTTTCAAGTCTCTGGAACAAATACCCTGAGAGTACAATTGCTAGGTCATACGGTAATTGCATGTTTTATTTTTATAAGAAACTGACATGCTTTTTTTCCAGAGAGGCTGTGCCATTTGCATTCCCACCAGCAATGTATAAGACATATATTTTTTCCAGCTTTGAAAAGGATGATTTTCTAACCAGGATGAATTTTTAATTACCAGGATTTCTTTGTTTGTTTTGTTTTGGGGGTTTGTTTTTGTTTTTTCTTTTTTGGTCATTTTAACCATAAATTATATCTTCATGTTATGTCGTAATTAAACTGGCAGGATTTTTTTCTTATTTGGTGGTACATTAGATAGTGGTTTATTTTACAACCAGTTTGTCTTCTTAGGTTATCTCATTTATTGATTTGATTACTTATTTGTCTGTTTCTTCCCACTAGAATGTGAATTTCAGGAAGGTAGGGATTCTGCCTCTATTGTTAATTCTGTCTTTCCAGGCCTGGCACAGGCATTGGTACATAGAAGGTACTCAATAAATATTTGTTAAATATATGAACAAATGGGTTCATTGTTCATATGTTGACTAAAAATGCAGGTGTTAGAACTCTTAAGACTTTTGGTGTGCCCCTCCCAGCCCCACAAGTTGTCTGCATTCTACAGAAGATCCCTGAAGGGTCCTAAGTTTTTATAGAGAAAAGTATAGTTGCTTATGGAGGAAGAACTCATTTCAGTTTGAAGTGTTTCTTGACATATAGCACATCAGGCTTCTGGGTAGTCACTTTAAGTACTTTTTAAAAGTCTTTTATTTCATAGTAATATAAAATATAAGGAAGTGCAAAAGTTTTGAGTACTGAATGAGGTGAACAGGAAGTTAAAAGGGTGCAGACTTTCAGTTATATGATGATAAAGTCTGAGGATCTCATGTGTAATATGGTGACTGTAGTTGATAATACTATATTGTATAACTGAAATTTGCTAAGAGAGTAGAACTTAAATGTTCTCACCCAAAAGGAAAAAAAAAAGGTGGGAAAAAAATTAAAGTGAGGCTCATTGTTCAAGAAAAAAAAGACAAAACTGAAATGTAGAGAGAACTGAGTCTACACATTTCTTGATTGATGTGTTATGCTAAAAGTGAAAGGAAAACAAATTTGTATTACTATTTTAAATAAATAAACCAAAATCTTTCAATTTATTTTGGAGAGGGATGGGAATAACAGAAAAAAATGCAAGAAGTGGATAAATTCTCTGTAAATGAATGTTTTGAAAAAAATCAGTTTCAGAAGTTGAATTCTACATCTTCATCCTTGTAGTTAGGTGACAGGGTGAAGGTTTTTTTTTCGGTTGTTGTTGCTTTTTTTTTTTAAGTTTTTTTTTTTTTGTATGTCTTACCTTAAAACTCAATGCTGATTTTCTGTGTAAGTTTATTTTTTTCAATTAAAGATTTTGCATACTAAGAAGTAAATTTAAAACTATATGTTTCATCTTTAAATATAAGCAGTATTAAATAAAATCATTCATCTCAAATTTTAAGTATGTAATGTGTAGGGAAACTTCCCTTCTGGCTTAATACTAACTTGATTAAAATATATTTCTGATAGAAAAATAGCCTTCTCCCTTGACTGTCTCCCTTTACTTCTGTAGTTAAAAATAGGTAAAGGGGTAGAAAATATTTATTTTAAAAAAACTTTTATAAGTACTTGAGCTCTCGTGTTTGCTAAAGAAGCTCATAGTAGATGTGTTACATTTCATATATTAGAATGTAAATTGTCCGCTTAGGGTAATACTGCTTTACTTGGTTTCTTTAAGTGCTGAGAACACTCTGCAAGTAGTTAAATAAATTGTTTGTTACTGGGTTTGTTTGCAAGTGTATGGAATTAATATATTAAATGCATTTTCCTAAAAATTTTTTTAAAATAGCTCATTCACAGTTCCTGCCGAGTGCTGCACTTTTTCACTAGGAGTAAACGATTTCTAGCAGCCAGTTTGTTCACTTTCACAACCCAGCATGTTTCTTTGAGACTGGCCTGGATTTTGCAAAACCTGACTGAGGTAAGGGAAGATTGTGTGTGTCTGAATCTAGATTATGGGGCTGAAAAAAAAAATGGAAGGAATCAGGTAGCAGTTTGATTATCTCAGGGAAAATTAACTGCCCACCACATTGAGATAGAAAACACAGAATCTTTACTCTGTTTTTTTTAACCTTTTTATTGTGAGTCATAGCACATATAGAAAAGCGAACAAAACAAAACTACCATTCAGTGATATTTTGTGGAGCAAACATCTGTGTAAGACTACTTGAATCAAGAACTACAACACTGTGACACTATGTATTGCATTTTATTTCCACTTTTATGGTTTATGTGTTTATTCCTCAACACTGTACTTTAGCTTTCTTTGCCTGAATATATTAAAACTTTATATAGGTGGAATTATACAGTGCTTCCTCTTTTGTGTCTGACTCCTTTTGCTTAACATTATATTTGTGACATATGCCCAAATTGTGTGTAAATTAATTTCCTTATATTTTCATTGCTCTTCAGTACATGATTTTACCATAGTTTATCCTTTTATACTTCCTGTTCATGTACATCTGAGTTGTTTCAGTTTGGGGCCATTATGAATAATGCTATATAAATGCATTTCTGCTATATCTATACATGAGAATGGAATTTTTAGGCATGAATGTGTATATATTTTCACCTTTAATAGATAATGGCAAACTTTTTTTTTTTTTACAGTTTTTGATCATTTATATACCCATCATCAGTGAATGAGAGAACTTGTAGCTTCATTTATCATCATAATGGTTATTATCAGTCTTCCTAATTTTAGCCATTTTGGTGGATAGGTAGTAATATCTCATTGTGTTTTAGACTGGATGAAAAAATCAAACTATATGCTGTCTTATAGGAGACATGCTTCAGATTAGAAAATATAAATTAGTTAAAGGTAAATGGATGGAAAAGATATATCATAGAAACCATAAATTAAGTGGCTATGCTAATATCAGACAAAATAGACTTTAAAACAACAAAAAATATTACTAAAGAGGGGCATTTTATAATAAGTCAATCCGTCAGAAATATATAATAATTATAAGAACGTAATTGCAGGAAGCAAAAACTGACAGAACTGAATGGGAAATTCAACAGTGCTAGTTGGAGACTTCAGTTACCCACTTTCAATAACGGATAGAACGACTAGACAGGAGATCAACAATGAAATAGAAAACTTGAACAACAGTGTAATGTTTTCAGGGAAATTCAGATCAAGACCATATTACATATAGAGACTATAATAAAACAAACCTAACTTTCTACCTTAAGACACTGGGAAAAGATGAACAAACTAAACCCAAAGCAAGCAGAAAAGAAATATAAAGACTGACTGAAAATTACTGAAATAGAGAATAGAAAAATAGTTGAAAAAAATCAACAAAACCAAAAGTTAGTTTGAAAAGATTAGCTAGACTGACAAGTGGGGGGAAAAAGAGAAGACTCAAATAACTAAAATTCTGAATAAAAGAACTTTAATTCAACCTCACAGAAGTAAAAAACATTAGGCAATATGATGAACAAGTATAGGCCAACAAATTAGATAACTTAGGTAAAATGGAAAATTTCCTATAAATACACAACCTACTCAAACTGACTCAAGAAGATACAGACAAACTGAATGCATCTTTCGTCGATTAAAAAAATTAGTACACTTTAACTTCAGAGGAGTTTTAGGTTTACAGAAACATGGAGCAGAAAGTACAATTCCCATATTCTACCCTCAACGCAGTTTTCCTATTATTATCTTGCATTAATATGCTACATATATTACACCTGATGAATCAATATTGACACATTATTAATAAGTATTGTTAATATAATGTGACTGTGATTACAGTATTATACACAATAGTTTCACTGCCTAAAAATCTCTTGCACTTCACTTACTAGCATTCCTCTCCTCTTACTCCTGAACCTCTGGCAACCACTGATTTTTTTTTTTCACTGTCTATAGTTTTTCCTTTTCCAGGATGTCATATAGTTGGAATTGTACAGAATGTAGCCTTTTCATACTGCCTTCTTTCACTTAACAGTGTGCATTAAAGTTTCCTCCATGTCATTTTGTAGCTTGATAGCTCATTTCTTTTTTTGTTTTAATCACTGATTAGTATTTTTTTTAATAGGAACATACATATATTCATTTTCATTTTCTTTTTCACCATAAGTTAACTACAAGATATTGAATATAGTTCCCTGTGCTATACAGTATAAACTTATTGTGTATCATGTATATATTAGTATCTACAGTTATGAATAAAGCTGTGGTAAACATTTGTGTGCAGGTTTTTGTATGAATATAAATTTTCAGCTCATTTGGGTAAATCCTTTTGTATGCAATTGCTGGATCATACAGTCAGACTATATTTAGCTTTGTACAAAACTGCCAAGTTGTCTTCCAAAGTGGTTGTACTATTTTGCATTCCTACCAACAATTAATGGGAATTGCTTCACATCCTGGCTAATATTTGATGTCAGTATTTTAGATTTTAGTCATTCTAATAGGTGTGAAGTAGTATCTCATTGGTTTAATTTGCAATTCCCTGATAACGTATGATATAGAAATATGACTTTATTTCTATGTCTTTTTCTTTGCATTGGCAAGGACCTCCAGATATATTGACTGGAAGGGATAACTACAAACATTTTTTTCTCATTCCTAATCTTGGAATAAAAGCTTTCAGCATTTTACTATTTAGTATGAATTTGTAGTAGGTTTTCTTTAGATATCCTTTATCAAATTGAGGACATTCTCTACTTTTCCTAGTTTGCTGGCTTTTTATGAGTGGATGTTGACTTTATCCGACACATTTTCTGTACCGATTATCTAGGTATGACAGCCTACTTGGGTTGTAGGACATCTTAAGTTCATTGCTTGCTATCTTTTGTTGATTTGAAAAATTTCTCAGCCATTATCTTCAAATGTAATTTCTGCTCCATTCCCCTTATCTTCTTTCATTTTGAAAGTCTGATTACATGTATGTTAAATCTTCTAACTCAATCTTTTTTGTGTCTCACTCTGTCTTACATATTTTCCATTCTTTGGTTTCTATGGACTTTATTCTGGATTTTTTTTCTAACCTGTCTTCCAAATCTATTATAATCTCTTCATTTGTGTCTTATGTGCTATTATTAAAACCCATCCACTAAGTTCTTAATTTTTTAGTTCTAGAATTTTTTTTCTTCTTCATGTAATTAGCATTGTATTTTAAAAGTCCATGATGATTCATTCTGATATCCGTAACCCTTGTGGACTGTCTCTTCTTTTTTTGTTGTTTTTTCACGATGGGCTCTTATTTCCTCACATGTGTGGTTATTAAATTTTTTTAAAAATTTTAAACCACTTTATTGAGGTATAACTATTGCCATACAAAATGCTGTGCACATTTAATGTATACAACTTTATGAGTTTGGTGAACCTGGTTACTTATTTGTATGTGTGTATGTATCTGTATGAATTAGACATTGTATTTGTGAAACTGTGTGTAGAAATTATGAGAACCTTAATATATACCTTGATATATATATTAATATATACCAAGATATATATATCTTGCTCTGGATAGGATTTATGTATGTTTCTTACATTCTTCTAGGCACCAGGATTATCTAAATCCTGTTTAATGACTGAGATGATTCAAAGCTGAGTTGCAGTTCCTGTAAGAGCCCGTCCTTCTAGCTTACCCTCTTCTAGGGTATAGCCATTTGGAATCCTCACCCAGTGTGAGGAGGATTGCCCTTGGTCCTCCTGCCTTAGAAAGCCCTGGTGTCTACAATGTGTCCCCTTAGCTTCACAAGAGGGCCTGACTTTCAAGTAGGTTCTGAAAGAACAAGTGAACTACTACCTGGCAGCATTGTTGCTACTTGCTGAAATATGGATTAACCTTTGTTTAATCTGGAACAAATTTTAGAATCATAATTTCTAAATTTAAGGAGAGTTTGAAATAATAATATTGCTTTAAGTACTCTATATTTAAGTGGTGTAACACTTGGCATCTTTAAAATACTTGCTCTAAGTCATCTACAAATGACCTGTTTTTGGAACTCATGTCATCTGTTTTCATTTTATTGATCCTTTCTACTATTAAAATATAATTTATCCTTAAATGTCTCCATTTGCTGAACTTTTTACCTCATTTATATAACAAGCTTTTTTTTTTAACATCTGCTATTCATATAGCAGGATCCCTGCTAGGTGTTGGAGTTATAAGTGCAATCTAGTTCCTGCTCTTAACGAGCTTACGGAAGTAAAGATGCTTTGAGAGAATGACTGTATGGAAGATACCCATAGGGGGCTGGGTTGGGTGTATCCAGGAAATGCTAGTCTTGAAGGATAAATAAGAGTGGGAGAGATGATAAAGTATGATTTAGGGAATTGTTTTCCTATAAGTTAATATTCCTTTACAAGCATTTCAATTTCTCTATTAGGTAGTTTAAAGAAGTTCTCATTCTTTTGTTTCCTTTGGGATATTTTTCTGCAATATGCCAGATAGTAACATTTTAGGCTTTGAAGGTCATGAGGATTCTGTCATAAATACTCTTTGTCATTTTAGCATGAAAGTAGTGATAAGTAATACATAAAGAAATGTGTGTTTGTGTTTCAATAACCCTTTACTTAAGGGCATAGAAATTTAAATTTTATATACTCTTCATGTATAACAAAGTATTCTTTTTCCTTTCTTTTTTCTTTTGACCGTTATAAAATTTAAAACGTTGGTGTTGGATTTGACCTGTGAGCCATAGTCTGCCATCCTCTGTTTTAAACTTTTTATATTTAGACATATTTTTATCTAAACTAAAAAATTGATACACTTCATTTTTTTCATCACAAAAGTGAACATGCTTGGTGTAAAACTAAAGCCTTTCATCCCTTGTAGTAATTGTATAGAACCGTTTGGGGTAAATTCTAGAAATTATTTCCTTATGTATGTATTAATTTTTATTTAAAAATGGGATTGTATTGTATTTAGTGGTTGACACGTAATCACGCACTTAATTTAGCCTTTTTGAACTGAATTTGTGCTGTTGTGTTTTCAAGGTGCAAAAGGCGATTGAAGAGGACAACTGCTGCTTTGGGACTGTTGACACCTGGTTGTTACATAAGCTCACGAAAGGTAAGGATGGTGTGATAGATCTGTCTCAAGTAACTGGAACTTAACTGATAGAAATGATTCATGTAAAAAAAGTGGAAGTCTTAAACTCTTCCCCCCCGCCCCACGCCCCCTTATCCCAGACATACTGTTTTTTGGTACCCTAGTAACTTCATGTTGTAGTAAAGCTGGATTAATTTCAGATTTGTTGAAGAGAAAGGTGATTTTAAAGTTGCGATGAAACCTCCAATATAAAACTGAGGAACAGTCTTAAATTCAAGAGTGGTTAGACTTGAGTTCAATTCCAAGCCTGCCACTTTGGGTGATCACATTGCTTCTCTGAGCCCCTTTCCTCGTCTTTAAACTGGGAATCATGGTGTGACACTGGACATGAAAGTTCTTCTGTAAAGTATTAAAGTTCAGAAAGATTAAGTGGGAAATTGCTTTGGAGACTTGGCACTGGAAATACACATTTTGGAATGAATTTGAGGGCAGTCAAAGGGTCAAGATTATAAACTAGGGACAGGCGTTGACTTACGCTACCTGATAACAAACAGATCATTTCCAATGTAAATTTAGGTTCTGAATTTGCCACGGATTTTTCAAATGCCAGTACAACTGGACTTTTCGACCCATATGAGGTAAATTTTGTTTTCTTTCTTTTTGAATCACCAATTTTATGTAATTTAGCTTGGATTCTGATGCCATGTTTTTCTGCTCAGATGTGTTGGAGCAAGTTCATCACCTCCCTGCTTTCCATCCCACTCTCTCTCCTGCCTCCTGTGAGGGATACGAGGTAAAAATAAAAATCAGATATAGAAACCAACAAAACTGTCCCTGAATTCACTTTGTCTTTGTGGGGACAAGCATTTTATCACATTTGTGAAATGCCTATGTATGTGTTCATTATGTAACTTTTTGGCCTATGCTGAAAACAGTTTGCTGAACTTTAGGATTATATTTCTAGAGCTATAACTTACTTTTTCATTGATTTTATTTGAAGCTACAATTTTGGATCAGTGGATGAAGAGGTATTTGGTGTGCCTATACCAATAGTGGCCTTGGTAAGTAGAAGACTTGAGGTTTTCTCCTTGTACAGTGTAAACTAAATGCATAGATTTAAGGATCACGAAAGATCCTTGCAGAATGAAGTTAAAGTTTTTTTCTTTTTCTTTTTTTTCAAGTTAAAGGGCCCTGGATAGAATCAGAAGCATTCTCTATATTCTGGAAAGGGGACCACTGGGCCAGTCTTCTATTGTGGACATACTTTATAACCTTTTCTGAATTCTCTATATATTGTTTTTCAGAAAACTACATTAAATTTTTTTAAAATGTTGTATTCTGAATAGTGCATGGTTTATACTTGAGACAAAAGACAGTGATAGGGCCAGTGCTTAGTTTATATTTGATATAGTGTAATGATAAACTGTGATGGGGCAATTAAAGTCAAGAAGAAATATATTTTGAGAGGGGAGGATGTAGCTTAAGTGGTAGAGCACATGCTTAGCATACACAGGGTTCTGGATTCAACTCCCAGTACCTCCTATGAAAAAATAAATACATAAACCCAATCCCCCCCGCAGCCGAGAAAAAAAAAAGAAGAAATGTATTTGCATTATATAAAATCCTTAGTCAGCATTTACTTAGCCAGTAGAGAATCTGTGGGAGAGTAAAAAATTTGCTGTTTCTAGTTTTTTGAGGTTCCTTTCTTGATTAGACTTCTGTCTAGCTGAATGAGAGAGTTGGAACTTGGAGAATCCCAAGGATTCTACCACCTGATTGAGAGGCTGAATAGAAACTCAGACCTTGCCTTTGATTTCCTGTAAGAGGTGTAGAGCATCTGTCTCTAGATAGATGATCAACCACGGTAGGTGGAGAAGTCACGTGAGGGGAGAGGAATTTAATTACCAGGTTACAAATTCCTGGAGAGGATCAGTCTTATTGAGCTCTGGGTAGGCTCAGGTGTAGTTTAAGGTTTGGCTGGAAGAATTATAGGTTAGTGAGAAAGTGTTCTTCAGATGAGTTTTAGTCCTTAAAATACTGCTAATAACATGTAATTATATGAACAAAATGTTACAATTTTTTAACGAGTGTATGGTTGGCAAATGTATGGTTTTAACCTACATCTACTTACAGTTAATCACACACCTATCACTCTTATTAAAAGAGAAATTTGTGTGGTCAGTTATTTTGAATGAAATTATAATGAATGAAAGCGCTTGCAAGTTGAAAACGAATAATCTTTGTTGTTTTTTTTCTTGCACAAATTTTATTCTAAGCTTTATTTTTAATATTATTATGATACTTAAAAGTCACGAAGTGGGTTCCCTGTTAAAAATCCCAGAGACACGTTAGTTATCCACATAATGTTAGTTCTGGAGAGACTCCTATGGTATAGTTGTTGCTCTCTGGTCTCACCAGTGAGTTTTTTTTTTTTAAAGGAAAGAAAATGTTGAACAATGAGAATACAATAAGTAAGACAGTGGGGTAGAGTGAAATGGACTATGCTAAAGGCCCAAAGGTTTTATTTGAATGTTTTTGGCAGGTCGCTGACCAGCAATCAGCCATGTTTGGAGAATGCTGCTTTCAGACAGGAGACGTGAAGTTAACCATGGGAACTGGGACATTTTTGGATATTAATACTGGAAATAACCCTCAGCAGAGTGTTGGAGGTAAGTAGTTAGAATTTATCCTACTTGTTATAAAATAACACCTTTTTTCACATTTAACTTTTGTGACACAATTTTCCCATTTTATATTAAGAATATTCTAACAGTTTTCATAATTATTCTTAGAGACAGTCAATCACCATTTCCTTTTTTTCTTTAAATTAAAAGCATTTAAAAAATGAGAAAGGTTTTATAGAAAAATTCAGAAAGATTAGGTTATTTTGATCAGCTTTCCAAATATTTACCTATAATACTTGTTATATTTATTTAGAATACCTTTCTGGGTCTCTAAAATTTATTTTATGTGTTATAAATTATTCTTCTTTTTGTGAATTTTTTTAGGGGTGGTACTTCTCAACTAGTGATCCATGCAATTTAGAGTTTTAATGACAATTGCTTGGAATTTGCTCTCCCTAATAGAGGAAATCCTGTAATGTACAAACCAGGAAATTTAGATTGTGTAACTACACCCAGGAGGGCTGGAGGCTCTCCATCTGAGCCCTGGTCCCCTAACATGGCTACTAAATCTTTTTTTAAATTTTTTTCCTGCCTGTCATCCCTCGCAAAGTTCTTCCTTTTTACCTTAGTAGGAAAATGGAAGCTAGAAAATGTTCATCATTGTTTCTTATTTAGGAACTGTTTAGAAACTACAGATAAATGCAATAGCATAGTTCTCTAGAAAATCAGTCTCATAATAACCTTTAATTTCTCAATTAAAATAGTTTCTTTGTTTGTAGAGACATAGATATGCTTATAGCTAATAAAAGCTAATATTTATTATTCATATTATATGCCAGGCACTGCACTAAGTTCTTTTTATTTATTAATTCAGTTTATTCTTACAGGAGCTCTCTCTCTCTCTCTTTTTTTTTTAATTTTTATTTTTTTACAGTTGAGGAAACAGGCTAAGAGGTTAGAAACCTGTAAGAACACAGCTAGAAATGCGGTAGGGCTGAGATGGGAACTCAGACAGTGTGACTTTAGAGCCATATTGCTACAAATTGTTCCATCATAGATGTCTCTGTAATGAATTTGCTATTTACCATATGACTTACATTGTTTATTTGTTTGTAAGGCTTTTATCCATTAATTGGGTGGAAGATTGGGCAAGAAGTTGTATGCTTAGCTGAAAGCAATGCAGGAGACACTGGCACTGCCATAGAATGGGCTCAACACTTAGGTAAGTCGTCCTTTAAACAGATTTCATAGGCCAGACTCAAGAAGCACACAGGATCACAGATAAGTAGGGAATGAACAGATCATTCAGATGAAAACAAAAATAAAATGGCACAAGCTAGAAGAAAATATAAGATGTTATTTTTATGACATTGAGATAGTGAAAGGCTAGGCATTAAAGCCAGGTACTATAAAGAAAAAGAATAGGTGTAAGTATTTAAAATATTAGCATGTGTAGGGAGGGAGATGCTGTAGCAAAGTTAAAAGAGAAACTGGTGAAGCCATGTTAGAAAAATTAATAAGGATGACTCCCAAAATGGATAAAGGACAGAAAAATAGGTATTTTATAAATCAAATGACTATTAACATTTGAATGATCTGTCTATAGGTCTCTATAGAAAATTTTTTTTAAGTCTTTATTTCATTTTTTTTGAAGATATTTTAACTTGATACAGAATTCTAGGTTGACAACTTTTTTTGTTTGTTTTTGTTTATCTTGGTGGGGAAGGGATTAGGTTTATTTATTTATTTATGTCTAGAGGAGGTACTGGGGATTGAACCCAGGACGTCATGCATGCTAAGCATGTGCTCTACCCCTTGAGCTATAACCTCCCCTCCAGGTCTCTATAGAAATTGGTATTACAAAGTCATAGTGTGAAAATCCTTAACAGCATGAATATAGGAGAAAATCATAGCGGTATCAGGCAGTTAATGAATAAAAAATGTTACGCTATTTTTCTGAGAAAAAAATATGCTTCAAATTCAATAATCAAAGAAATACTCAAAAAATACACATTTTAAAACTGATGTCACCTGTCCTTATCAGAGATCAGTTAGTTTAATGATGCTCAGCACTGGTGGGCATGTAGAGAGAAAATCTTGTTTCCCATTGAGATGAATGTTAATTAGTATGGCCTCTTTGGAGGGCAGTTAGACAACATGTGTTATTTTGTAGAATGCAAACCCTTGGCCCTCAGGTCTATTCTTTGTTTCCTGAAAAAGTAATCATACAGGCATGCAAAAGGCATGTTCGTATATAGATGTTCAATATGGCCATTGGAAATAAGTTCCTGTCTCATAATAGAGCATTAAGTGAGTAAATGTCAGTGCATCCATATAGTGGAACATTGTACAGTGACAGATAACAGTGTTGCCTGTCTTACTGCAACCACAGTTGCTGCAGTTGAAGAATAGCTTGTTTAATTTTGCTTTTTTACAAAAAGCTTTATTGAAATATAATTCACATGCCATATAACTCTTATTTAAAGGGTAAAATTTAGTATTTTTAAGTAGTTTCACAGGGTTGTGCAGCCATCACCACAATCTAATTTTAGAAAATTTTTGTTTCTCCTTAAAAGAAACCATCATACCCACTGGCAGTGACTCTTCTCTCCACCAGCCCTAAGCTACCGTTAGTCGGCTTTCCGTCTATGGATTTGCCTATTCTGGACAGTTTCTTATAGATGGAATCAAACAATATATGGTCTTTTGTAACTGGCTTCTCTCATTCAGCAAACTGTTTTCAAGGTTCACCCACATTGTAGTGTATATCAGTACTTCATTTCTTTTTGTTGCTGAATAATTTCCCATTATACAGACATACTACAGTTTATTTATCCATTCATCAGTTGATGGACATCTGGGTTGTTTTCACTTTGTGGCTATTGTGAATAATGAACAGCCTGTATATTACACAGCCGTATTTCATGCCTGAGCTGTGTAATGTTACATACCAAAGTATTAACAGTCATTATCTCTGATAATTAAATTATGGAGAGGGTCTGACTTTCTACTTTGCTAATATGAACTAAGCTGATTTGTTTAAAGACAAAGCAATTCCACTGGCAAATGCCAATCCATTTCTTCCTTTCTTCCTTCCTTTCTCTTTGTCTATAAGCATGCACCCGCATTATAAGCTTAAGATTACTTATTTCAAAAAATGGTTATTTGGAAGCTTTTTACCGCTTAAAAGTCCCTTCTTCCTTAAATGGACTTCTTTTAATTTTTTGGACCTGTATCTTTAGTTAACTCCAGATTATCACAAGTAGAAAATATAGGTTGCATATTTCTTCTCTTTTAGTGATACCTTTTATTAATTTTATTCCTTCCCAAAAGACACAAAGAAAAAACAGAATAATTTCACATCATCATTAAAAAAAAACAATTCCCAAGTTTCATATGACCATGTATACAGTATCAGTGAAAATCACTTCCACTGCTTTGCTGAGTTGAGGCTCATTCACTGTGACTCTCAAATGATGAAAACTCTTTCCTGGGAGATGAAGCTAACTGACCCTGACCTAGAAAAGTGATGTAGTTTCCGGTAGAGGCACAAGTCCCTCCTGAAGGCTAATTTCACCTCTGGTAGGAACTAGGACCATTGGTCTAACTGGAGTGAGAGAGAATTGGGTTGAATTATTTAATTTAAAATTTCAGTCATTGTCAGAACTAAACATTACTGTCATATATCTGTCTGAAATCCATACAAAAAGTCGGTTTTTGGACTTAGAAATTATCATATTAAGTGAAGTAAGTCCGACAGAGAAAGACAAATATCATATGATATCACTTATATGTGGAATCTAAGAAATGACACAAATGAACTTATTTACAAAATAGAAACAGACTCACAGACATAGAAAACAAAGTTATGGTTACCAAATGGGAAGGATCAGGGAGGGATAAATTAGGACTTCGGAATTAGCAGATATACACTACTATTTATAAAATAAACAGACAATAAGGTCCTACTATATAGCACAGGTAACTATATTCAATATCTTGTAATAACATATAATGAAATATATATATATATTCTTTTCAGATATATATATATATCTGAATCACTGTGCTGTACACCAGAAACTAACACAACATTGTAAATCAACTCTACTTCAATTTAAAAAAATCGACCTTTATTTGAATATATTCTTAGAATTCACTTTAGTGAGTATATCAAAGAAAATAACTAAATTACATTCAGGAGAAACACAGTGAGTGAGAGCCTGAGTAACTGTCATTTCCTTGAAGATTTGTGATCTGAGCCTTTCTGTCTGTGTGTGACATGCTGGCTTGCTCTGCTCTGAATGGTGGCTTCCTTCCACCTCTTTACTGGGTTGAACAACTCAGGCCCAGGCGTAAAAGCTCTTTTAAACCAATTTCATCCTGATTTTTAGATTTATTTTCTTAACCTTTTCACACGGGCTGGTTCTCACTTTTTTTACCCCTGAGCCTCCTAAGTTAACTGTCCCCTACAGGCTTTTCCTTTAATTTGGTCTGTTTCTGCTCCTCTTCACTCTTTGTTCTGTTTTGCTGTCTCAATCTTAGAAATATTTATATGTCTTCCAGCTTTTATTCAGCTAACAAGTAACTGAGTGTTGAGTACAAGCCTGGAACTATGCATGGTAGGAGACACCAGTAAGACAGACACTCCTGGCCCTCATAGTCTAGCAGGAGGTTGTAGTCTAGCAAGAAAGACATCTATTAAATGAATAATTGAAAAAAAACAAATCCTTAGTGTTAAGTGCCAGGAAGAAGTAGAATCAGTGATCTCTTTCTAAAGGAAGGGCTTTGTCTAGTGACAGAAAGGGCTTCTTTAAAAAAGTCATGTTTCAGGGGAGCCCTGAAGGAAGAATAGGGGTGGTGGGATAGATGGGGAGGCTGTTGGCCAAGGAGCAGTCCACGCAGAGAGGACCAGTGAGGAAGGCCCCGAGCAGGGAGGAACATGACCCATTTAAGGAACTGAAAGAATGCCCTATTTCTTTTCTATAACTGAGACAGCTCCCATCTCTGTAGTCCTCCAGTAACGTGGGTCCGGGGACGCCTTTTCCCCAGTGATACCACTTTTAATTGCTACTGCACGTCACATCTGCCGGCTCCAGGCAATCCCCATCAGACTTCTCGTATACATGTAGAATTACCCAGGACTTTTGTTTACTAGAAATAAAGGAAACTGATTTCTTCTCTCTGGGTATCTTCCCAGGAGAGATACAGCCTCATTAGAGGAGATGAGATAAACATTCTTTCATGTATGAGCTAATGAGGTGGCGGTGAATAGTGACATGTTACTGCTAGTGAGTAGGGTCTTTGTTCATGATCTTGCCTCCCTCTTGCTTCCTGCTGGGATGACACACAGTAAGATGAGTACGGCTGTGGCTGGAATGGAGCCCAAACATGAATGAAGTAGACTGCAGGTGCAGGGTCTGAGCAAGGCACCAACTGAGTATTACTGGTGAAAATGTTAGAGGCTGGTGAGGACCCTGATATGCTATGAATGGACGTTGATGAGTCAGGAGAAAATCCCATCAGCATGTGGAGAAGGAAGAGCTGGGCCTGCCCATCCCTGGGAGAGAGCCTGCTAACAGTGGACGTCAGGACCAGTTGATCTGAACTGCTCCTCTTCCAGGCTGGGGCGAGAGGTCTAATCTTTCTCATACTTTAATAAACCCGAGGGGGAAGGGAAGTAGCTCATTGTAGAGAGTATGCCTAGCATGCATAGCACGCACGAGGTCCTGGGTTCAATCCCCAGTACCTACATTAAAAAGAAAGAGAAAAGAAATCCAAGAGCCAAGGGTGTTCACTCCCTTACCTCTCACTACTTGCCGACCCCCTAAGCCTGACCTGAAAGGGCACAAAGTGTTTTAAGAATACGCAGCACCTTGAAGGAGGGTGACCAGTTCAATAAACCACAACAGGCAGCTCCCACAGAGGCAGATCTCATGGAAGAAACAGACGATTACAATAACAGCAACAAAAGGAAACAATAAATGGATAAAAGAAAATGTTGCATGGAAATGTTGGGAAAGTATAAAAAGTTTCAAAGAGCAAAAACCATGACATATAAAATGAAAAAAAATTAATAAAATGTAAAATGGACAGTGCTAACAGTTCAAATAGGAATCAGGAAAAATTTAAAAACAGAAAGGAAAAAAAAAATAGAAAAGGAAGCTGAAAGGTAAGAAATACAGAGGGAAGACCAGAGAAAAAAATATGTGACTAAAAATC